AGGAAGGGTATAAAGATATGAAGGGAAAGGGGGGATATAAAGATATAAAGGGAAAGGAAGGATATAAAGATATAAAGGGAAAGGAAGGATACAAAGATATAAAGGGAAAGAAAGGATACAAAGATATAAAGGGAAAGGAAGGATACAAAGATATAAAGAGAAATGGTGTATATAAAGATATAATAAAAGGGAAATGGGGGAAGGAATCAGTAAGAAAAGTGATGAGAGTTAATTTTGTTGGTACATTTTCAATAGTTTAGGCTAGCATGGGCTAGCATATCCACAATGTATTTCTACAGGGAACAGTAAACACCAATCTCGCCCCTCCCCCCTCCCCGCCGCCCCACGTCAAACTAAGGTAAAATCCACGTAAGATTAAAATCTTAAATGTTTTATCATAAATCTTCTCATTTAAAGAGCAATTGCGAAGATGTTAAACGTTTTGAATTCACAATATGTAACCAAATGGATTTTAATTTCTAACACTGCATCGAATCAGAACTAGAGGAGATACTAGGTCACAAAGTCGTAATAGTTCTAACATTATTGTTGATTGAAATTGACCTTCTTCTCCTGGCTAGTTTGCACTTAAAATACATTATCAAATATTATCAAAATCAAAAAAGGGACATAAAAAAATTATTGCAAACAATTATTGAAAATAACTTTTTTTAGAATTTTTTTTATAAAACTCAATAAATTATTGTTTATTCTCTGACCGCAAAAAAAATGTTCTCCAATATTAATGTTACATAAACCATCCCTGGGGTCATGTGAGGTCCCACACAAAATTTTGACCCAATCAGTTCAGCCGTTTTGATGTTTATTGGATACAAACGGACAGAGAAACAAATAAACAAAGAGACGGACAGACAATCAAAGTATAAAGATAGATGTAGATTATAGAAGTTGAGTAAACAGAGAAATGTTTGCTGATGGGTAACAACACAAGCTTTAACTCTAGTCTCAATCCACATTCAACCATGAAGCTTCTAAGACTTTTCATCAAATTATGTAAGTTTAATTTTTGTGAAATTGAAAAAATGCTAATTTTTATTTTTTTTCAGACTTAATTCCTCTTCAAAACAAAAAGTACGAATTTTTCAGCTGTAAAATGTTTATTTCCTTGATTATCTGGTTTTGTATTCCTATTGGTCTGTTCACAATTTCCATTTATCTTCAATATGTTTCCAGTTATGAAGTGATAGAGTACAATCCAGTTATTTTGGCCAGTACAGTCACAGTAATCCTGAACATAGTTGCACTAACATTGTTCATTCCTGGATTACTGGCAAATCTTGTGGAAAAGTCTGAAATTGATCTTGATGTCAGCAAGTACTCCAAGAAATGGGTTGCTTTGTATTTTATAATCTTTCTGACCTCAACTGTTTTGGGGATATTCCGTTCGGATATGAAAGAAAACATGATCTACTTTACTGCTGCAACACTGTTCTGCCAGATAATGATTGCAATGCTTCTGGTAGCCTACTTCATTACAACTAATCTAGTCTGCACTTCCTTTATTATGGAGGCTACTGATTTAAGCAAGAAAAAGGATGAAGCAGAGACTGTGTTATGTTCCATACATCTAGTGAAGAAGATAAGAATTCTAAAAAGTGGGTTTAGTCCTCTTAATTTCTGTATTCTGACAAACTACACCACTTGCATGATAGTCTGTGCTTACAGCGGATTTTATTACCTGAAGCTTCGACAATATTTCCTATTTTTATCTTTTACTATCAGTGTTGTAATGTTTCTTTTAGTCATCTACTCTCTCATCTCTGCATGTGATGAAGTCTTTCAAGCTTTATCCTCCAACAATGATAAACTTAGGTATTATATGCGTAAAAACTATATTTCAAAGAATAATTTTTACCTCTAAAATCTTAGAAAGATGTCACTGATTGTGGATGATGATTTGAAGCATAAAATTATTACAGGTTTTCCTATCTTTTTTGTCAACCTTTATTAAATAACTGATATTACTGCATGTTTAAACATAATTGCACTTACAGGGTGTCCCACATCATATTAGACTGAGAACGGGTCTAATCAGGACTAATTAGAAAATTTCATTAGAATTATATAAGAATTTTCTTGTGGAAAATGATAAGTTTTTCGAGTATTAAGGGTTTATTTTGGTGTTAAAGATTGGAAATAATCTAATATGATATGGGACGCTCTGTATTTAACTGACAGCTACTGACAGTCTTCTTTGCTAAGGCTAATATCTTAGTTAAATTTTTTTAAATGAATCAACATCACAGTAGAGTAATTGCTTGAGTTAGCAAATAAGGTTTCAAAAGTGATAGTTTTCATATATATAAACTTTATTTAAATAACAGGTGCATTAGTTTTGTTTCAATGTTTTAAATTTTATTAATTCAGTTCTTGAGATGATCAAAGAAGAAGGACCGTTCACTGCTCTTGGATTCTTTGCAGTGGATAAATCTACTTTCATGACTATTATTGGATGCACCATTAACTATCTGGTTATTATGCTCTCTTTCAATTCAACTTAGTCTAACATATTAATCAGTACTACTGCTTGTCTCTCTTTGACAACAGGAGGCCATCATTTGCTTTATTCTAGATCATACATGTGACATAATAACTTTTTTGTATGTTGTTTAATCAATCAATCAATAATATAAGAAACTTACATAACCTTTGAATCATTAAAGTTTTTTGTGTAAGATTTAATAAGATTGTAGCTCAACGTACTTGTTTTTTTAAACTATTAAGAATTAGGGTTTCCAATGCAAGTGGATTTTAATTGCCCAAAATTGCAAGCCCTTGCGTGCAATTGAATTTAATTGCACAAAATTCCGTAATAATTGCGGACAAAAAATGCAACAGAATTGCGTGTAATTGCAATTTCATCAAACTTTCTTGCATTTTTCTTTCATTTTTTTGATAATAACAAAAAAAATCAATTTAAACTTTGGTAATGGCATACAATTAACTGAACTTACAATTCAGTCTCACATGCTAAGAAAATTGAATTTAAATTTAATCTTTTATTATATAATATTCATATGCAGCATGATAACCAGAAAACCCCGACATTGGAAGACAACATTTTAGACTCAAGCAGATCCATGTAACTTAATAAGTGATTTAATAAGTTGCTAATTGTTTTTTTGCTTTGGAACGACATCAAATAAACTGTAATCTTTCTGTACCATAGTTTTCTGGTGCTCACCATAAAAAATATTTAAATTAGAATAACGGAACCTTGCAATTTAAACCAATAAAAGTTTCCATTCATTATGTTGATCTAATGTGAACAAATGAAAAATGTATCATATTGAATTGTTAAATAGTAGCTTAACCACAAAAAAACTTTAAAATATTAAAACTGTTGAAACAAGTGACACTCTGGCCTCGATTTTTGAAAAATCTACAGAGATATTTCCATTCTTGTATCTGCTGCACTTAAATTTGAAAGTCACAGTTAAAGTTATTGATTTTTAGATGGAAAAGCAATTTCGTTGCATTCAATTCCGCGCAATTCTGCGAATTTTAAGTTATAGCGCAAATGCGCACAATGAAATGGCGCAAGTGGAAGCAACAATTGCGATTTATTCTGTGCAGTGGAATTTCGGATTGGAAACCTCATTAAGAATCAAGTAAGATAAACAAAAATAACTATTTCAATTTTTATTTTTGGTTATCACTATTCTCTGCTATTCAGAATTTTTTGAGAATAATAGTTTAACACACTATATCAAATCTGTATTTTAAAAAAAAGTAAAAATAAGTGTGAAAGCCTTATTAACTTTTTCTTCACTTAAATATTACCATTTTTGACCAAACATTATATGAACACAAAATATCAGAAACTTCAAAATTTTGTAATACATAAAAAATTTAAAAAAGTATTTAAGAATAAGAAAAATCAAGATAACTATCAACAAGATCAAAATTTAAAAGAAAACAAAATATTTTTTGAACAAATGCTTCCTGCCCATCATTTAGAGTCTAAGCAGTGCGAAGAGTGTAAAAACTCTTAATTTACGCTAATATCTTTAGGATATGTTTCTAGAGGTTTGCAGTGCTTTAACATTGTTTTGTTAAGCACTCTCAAAGATGGAAACTCTCTGATTATAGACTCTATAAGTGGAACTATATAAAAAGACTTACTTTTATCTGTCAGAATATATTTGACAAAGGTAGAGAATAGAGTGTACAGTATGAAGTGCCATTGTAGAGTGAAAATACATATAACATACATAGTTTTTATACTAAAAGGGTTGCATTTGCGTACACATATATAAAGAATACAATACTATAGATAACAAAATTCCTTGACATACATGGTTCTATTGGTTGCTTTAGAATTGTACGTAAAAAGCTGGTAAAGGATTGGTCTGGCGCACAGCCTAGTTAACTGAGCTGGGCTGTAGGTAGAAAGTAGGTTACAAAGATATAGACGTCTGGGTCTGGAAGTATGTTGAAATGTATGGTATAAAACTGACTGTATTTTTTGTTGCTATGTTAAAATAGTGATTTAGACATTTAGAGATCAGGATGTAAATATCTAAATGTTTAGAGATCAGGATGTAAATATCTAAATGTTTTCAAACATTTATGAGGGGAACAACAAAATCCCCTCCTTCTTTGAAACTAAGGTTAAAAAAAAATTTAGTATAAAATGGTAATTTTTGTTGTAATTTTTGTTTATAAAATAAAGTTAAAGATGATATTTCTAAAAGTCAAAAAAACTTCAAGATTTTAATTGCAAATCTAATCAGGGATAAACATCCATTTAAAATATACCTCGCAAACAAATATTTTTGTCTATCGTTTGTTTTACCCCAACTCATATCAAGGTTTGGTTGGCAAGATTTGCTTTTCAAAATTTAATTGAAAATCTTATCACAATTGAATGCAGGGGCCGCGGGCGTAAGAGGTGCCCCTCCTGAGGGATGGGCACCCACTTAAGAAAATTACATAAATATTTTTTTAACACTTGTAATATGGAAGTTTACATAGCAAAACAATTCCCCCCACCCCCTTACACAAATGCTCTCGCACACCCCTGATTGAATGAGTTGCAAGCTCTGCTGTTCAACAATTTTTCATATTTTTCACAATTCATATTTATGTCAGGCAGGAAGAACAGGAAAATTACATGAAATGGGCAGATATTATGTATTTGTAGTTGTACTGATTAAATACTTCAAATACATATGTTAATTATTAATTTTAGAATGGGTGCACAGCAGAATCACATGAAATAGGCAGATATTATGTATTTGTACTGATTAAATAATTCAAATACATATGTTAATTATTAACTTTTGAATGGGTGCACAGCAGAATCACATCAAATAGGCAGATATTCTGTATTTGTACTGATTAAATAGTTCAAAAACATATATTACTTATTAATTTTAAAAAGTGTTTATTTGATTTTGTGTTAATATCCCCTTATTTTATATTCTAAATCTTCACATCAACAAATCAACCATCACTCTAAATTTACAACATCAATATCCTGTAGATCAATATGTGTTTCTTTGATGAGGGTAGCTCTCTCTAGAATCCTGGCACATTCTTCTACATCATGTACTGTTGAGATTAGCTGGGTGAATCTATGATTGGCAAGATTGGAGTCTTGGCTCTTCATCAACATTTCTTTGAACAAGATTGTTTTCAGCTTTCCTGAAACATTTGTAAATTATATTTATAGTACAGATTATTACAATCATTTGATCTTATGCTATGAATGGTATAAATAACGATGAAATTTTTACTAATTTAAAAAAAAAACATAATTATTGTTTGTCAAAAAGTTGTTAACTATTTTATCACATTTTATCCATCATGGCATTACATTTAATTACAGCTATACATAGATTCAGACCCCCCAGCCCTTTTAGAATTGAAAGGTTTTACTGCAATATGAGAAGGTTTTGATATTTTAAAACTTTATTCTGTAGAAGTTTGCTTTTAATTACATAACCATACTCTATGATTTTTTTACCTGGAAGAAAATTGTGAGAGCTGCCAAATTTATCCGCTAAGTTACATAATATTAGGTTAAAAAAGCAAAGATGCAGAACAGGATTGGCCAGAAAGGTTTTCAATGTTTGACAGGTCTTCATAAAGAACTCTTCCACTTCTATACTTTCAGCCCATGGGGACTTAAACATGTCACTTTTTAAGTAATTAACCATTTTCGTGTCTTGCATGTAAACTGGAACAACTGCACTGAATGGATAGGACTCCACATTGTATCCATAAGTTGCTAAAAGTTGACGAACTGTTATTCCTTCATTAGCAGATGAATAAAATACACCAAAGCATTGGTACAATGTTCGTAACTTTGCTTGCATTGTGGGATTGAGACTTGAGAGATCTGTTAAGCAAGCTTTGAAGATATTGTCAACTGATACATCAACCAAAGTACAATCTAAGGCTGTAACAAATGTAAGTGTTTGAGTATCAAGAGATTGACTATGATACCGTTCAAGTTCTTCATGCACAGTGTGGTGAGACATCCCATCCAAGTAAGTTTTAAGCAGAAGCTTTCTCCAGCTGGTCACAAGGCCACTGAAGAAATGGATATCTTCTGGGTTGAGTTGGTCGTTTCTGGTTATTTGGAACATTTTGGGATCCTGCTGAAACATGCTTGCTTCATAAGAACCAAATTCTTTTGGGGTCAAAGAACAGTGGCTGGGTAACATCTTGACTTTCCGGGATCAATTCAACCTCAAAAACTTTTTCTACTATTATATTATCATTGAGAGTAACTGTAGATGTCACCAATTCTTCACTTTTTTTAGAATTCTTTTCCTGTTCAGCAAAATAAGCAGCATTGCTTTTTTTGTTTTGTCTACTTGCTCCGGTTTCATTCCAACCTCAATGCATTTGGCAAATCTACAGGTTTTGCAGTAAAGTCTGGCATTGATTGAAATTTTGCAATTAAGGAATCCAGATTTGCATGTCCACTTCAGATTCTGGCTCACAGACCTCCTGTAAACAAATACAGAAATATAAAACATCCTTTAAATTTCTATTCATTAAAAATCACAAACTTTCACGGTGATTGTGTCAAAAATGAGAGCGCTAGGACAAAAAGTTACAGGGGGGGCCTCAGCCTGTTTAGGAGTAAAAAAAAGATGCACATTGAAAGGATTTCACCGTACAGTGGATTTTGATTACAAATAAAGAGGAAGTTGAGAACTTTTTTCAAAAGATATTTCATCAAAATTATATGTTTGTTTTGTATTGAAAGAAATTCTTTATTGCAATGACTTTAATACCAGTTTCAGTACATTTGTAAGCACTTTGTCTGCAATTCTAGCAGACAAACACTTTTGCCAGACAACTTTTTTGTAATTAAAAAGGCGATTATCTCCTCATCCAATTGCACAAATTATGATTTTTTGTTCGAAAATATATCAAAGAAATGCATCTCAATTGTATATCAAGCATCTATCGTTTTTAAAAATTCTTAAGTGGAGATTTTTGCCCTTAATTAAAAAACTAAATATCTTGCATATTATTTGTAGTTATATCAGAAATGAATAGTTTTATTAAAAGTATGACTATAGTTCAAGAAGATAACAATTACAAAAAGTGTGCATGCCAAAGACCTACCACCTCCTTTGTTACCCTAGAAGAAACTATAAGTAAAAAATCATCGTTTTAAAACTATAGTTTTTGGGTTTTCAAAACGATTGTTTTTGGTTCATTTTCACTAGAGTGGTAGGCAATTATATCAATACAACAAAGACAACTTTCGATTTCAATTATGATTAAATTCAAGCTATTAAAAAGCATGGATACACTTTAACATATGAGGTCAATTAAAAAAACTTCTCTTTGATTAAAGCAAACTTCGACAGAATACAATTTTAAATTGTTGGATCCTTCTCTGATTGTTGTAAAACCTTAAAAAAGTCTAAAAATATTAAGTGTCTAAGTAATGAATCTAGCTAATGCCCATTACTATATAAATCCTACTTAAAGAATATTCTGCATGAATTACATATATTCCCCTCAGCTCCATAGTGATGAAGCAGTTTCACTGTCTCATTGTCACAAACCAAACAGGCATAAGGCATCTCAACCCCTCAAAGATATTATGTAGTTTGATGTTATGTGGGACTTCATAACTTTAGTAGGCGCTTATCTGAAAAAAGGTATTTCTTATCTCTATAAGTAAAATTAATATTTATGTTTTCTAATAATTTCACCTTAATTACTAATATTTAGTTTTAATGTAGTCTAAAAAATGATGATAATTAATTTATCAATGATGTCTGCATAAATTAAAATCTGGTAAATCATTGGTAAAAATTAATTTCTAACCACAGTTTAGTCTACTTATCCTGAAAAATATACAGGGTGTCTCAATAAACATGGGAATTCAGTGACAAATTCGATACCGTCTTTTCAAATAAAGTGGTACATACTGAGAAAGCTGTAATCTGCAAGAGTTTCGTCTCTTATGTTTACATTTTGTTTGTTTATGTTTTGACTGCATATGGTTGTACTTAGTAAAACAAGAAAACTACAGTATACAAACAGAGGAAACTTGTCTGTCTTCACTGTTCATCTTGCAGAGACATTATAGACACATCTTTGCAGTCTTTTACCCTTTTCATAAAATAAACTCTAGCAGACATAGTAATACTATGGCTATTGAAATTAGTTATTATAATGCTAATTCATAACAAAGACGATATTGAATTTGTCACTGAATTCCCATGTTTTTTGGGACACCCTGTATCTGTGTACAGAGGGACCCATAAAACTGTGGAATAGGAATGCAAACTGTCTACAGCAATGTTTTTGATGTAGTTCAGGAAAAAATTAGAAGTAGCTTAACAATCCACATTTTAATAAAATTGAGTCTGAGTACACCGTACTAACCTATGTTGTGTCTCTGTTCATCAGACTATTCAAAATCATTACTATGGGTAGATCTCATGGTGTAGTCTTAATTCCTCAGTTTTATAAATCCCACTGTTTTCTGTATGCTTAATGTATACTGTGTGTGGTGGGAAACATGTTTAGAAATGAATGTTTCAGTTTCTGCGTTTCTGACTGAACAGAGTACGTGTTCAAATGGTTGTTGTATACATAGCCTAGAGAACATTTAAACAATTCTGGTTAGTAAAGAGAAAGAGTGAGTAACCACAATAATAACAATATTAATAATAATAATAATAATAATAATGATAATAATGATAATTATGATAATAATAATTGTAATGATAGTTATAATTAATGATTATAGTGAAAAATCATATTATAAAGATATTGAGGATGTTAATAATTAGGAAATAATATTAATAAAGATATCAAGGATGTTAATAATAATAGAAAATAATATTAATAATGATATTAAGGATGTTAATAATAATAGAAAATAATAATGTCAAAGGCTTTCCAAAAAGCTAAATTTTATCAAAATCTGACAAGTGGAAGTGGGTCAAAACAAAGATTTAGTTTGTTACAGGAAAAAGCAGTTAGAATTAAAGCTAGTTTTAGGCCTAAAGGGAGGGCTTTGGGTATGCAGGAAAAGTCAAAAATTTTCAACAGCCTCAGACCAATACTTTTTGAGTTATGTTAAAAAAACCCCAGCAGGAATAGGGTTAAGAATGTTAATAATAATAAAGAATAATGATAATAATGGAATTGAAAATAAAGAAATTAAGGATGTTATTACTAAAAGAAAAAAATTATAATAATGAAAATGATTATACTTAAAGTAGAACTACCATGTTTTCAGCTCAAAAATGTTAAATGATTATTTATCAATGGTTCTCTAGAAACCTATATATTAACATCAATGAGAACAATAGAGTTGTTTTCCAGGTTAAAAAGTGTTTAATTCTGATTATTCTGATATGTTTATCTGTTGTGAAAAAGTTACTTTTATTGAGAAACCACAAATGAATTTAAACAGAAACATGGATATCTAATTTATTCTTGATTAAACGAACACTGTATTTCTGCCATGTCAAAAGTAAACTTCTTTGTAAGGATCTCTGATTGAACAAAGCAGTTTAAATTTCTCATAGGTTGATTTATTTTTCTGTAAGGAAGTTCACATACCGTACAATATATACTTCATAAAGTACATCATGATGTTCCTATTGAAGAAAAAGGAAACATTCAGTTCTAAGGCAGTGGGCAGTAACAATGTACGGAACTACAGTTGTATTTTACTGTTGTATCTGTGCATAGAGGTCAATTGATATTATGCATAATAATATTATTTTTATATCTGGCAAAATAGCTTTGAGCTATCTAAGCCCCCCTGCTGCAGTAACATTAATCATATTTGTGTATTTCTACCGCAGGAAAACATCAAGGAATTATCAGAATTATACACTTTCAAACCTAGAAAAACGACAATATCTTTACGTTGTTGATCAGAAAGAGATTTTAAGACTATAGTTTGAATCGGGCATTGTCATCTTTTCTAGGGGGGGGGGGGGTAATTGAAATTATGCTGTGCAGTCTCTATATTTAGGTCATGTTTATAGTTAATTGAAAAAAAAACTATATTTTTACCAAAGCTTTTTTTGAAACCCATAATTTTGTTATCTGTATAAAATATAACAGAACAATTATGCACTACGTTTGTCATGTTATTTTTCTTTTTGGTTTCATTGACAATTTTTAGTTACAGTTATATTGTTCTGAAGTTTAGACTTAGAACACATAATTGAATCAATTTGTAAGACTACGTTGAATTTGAAGCATTGATAAACCTCAGTTGTACTTTTTTTATTTCCCTACATATATCAATTTTAGAGCTTGTGCTTGTTTATCTTTGTTTTTATGGACTATTTAAATTATTGTGAGGATGAGGCCAAGAAAATATGTGCAATTAAGGATAAGGGCTGGACAAATTTGTCTTGACAAAACGGAAGTTTCTGAAAATTAACGAAAGAGTGTGTAAATGAACGGCAAAACCATTTATTTTTTACCCACTTTTTAAGATAAAAAGTTGTATCTTTTTTATGTTTATTTTGTAGTGTTGTAATAAATAAACCTAATTCTGTTATATCTTTGTAACCTGTAAATATACTTTCTTTAGTTCATTCATCCTAGCTGCGGTTGGTCAACTTATTTACCTGTATCTTTTTATACCTATATTAGACAGTTCAACACAGACTCTTGTTATTTATGGATGGTACCTGGATAGGTAGAGAGGATAGAGTGTCATAAATTAAAACAGCGCATCTAGGCTGATAAAGTCTAAGGAGGAGTTTAGGCATTTTCTACAATGTTTTAATTCTTTTAAATTTTCCCAGCTAGTTTACAGGAAATAAAAAGCTGGCACCATCAACAATAACATTGAGATCATAAAAAAACGTTAGGGCTGGGGACGTTCCGAATTTTTTTAAATCGCTCCCTCCTAGAATGGAGGCCTCCAGCTAAATTGTTTCGTTCTTGTTTGTTCTTTTTACGAGCAATTCATCCACGTTCCATTCCGTTCCGTTCTTGGTGTTCTTAGTCAAAGAACACTCCATCCCATTCTGTTACGTTCTTTGTGTTCTTATATTCAAGAACAGTTCCATCCCAAATATTGATAAATTATTTATGAAATTTTCTTAAGTGGACTACCTCTTATAACTGTGGAGTAAGCTTCAATGGGTGAAAAACAGAGATAGAAAGCTCTAGGTACGACACCCAGCCCTAGGTAAGGTAGCTTTAAAAAAATGGAAAATGCCGTTTACAAAAAAAAATTATTTTCTTTGATAAAAAACTACCAGAAAAAAAATGTTAACGGCTTTAACTTGCCATTAATGTATGGCTTTAAAAAGTCAGAATATGCCCAGCCCTGAAAAGTACATAAACTAAAAAATATTTACAATAGCACCATAATAGATTCAGGATTAGTAATATGTTTTAGATTTTATCATATCTTAATAATTTATTTATTTTTAACAAAAATTATTTTTTTTAGAATAGCACAAATGTACTCAGTGTACCCTAGTACCCTTAACAGAGGTTAAAGGGTATGAACTATAACCGCTATCTATCTATCTATCTAGTATCTATCTATCTGAGTATTCATCAAGTCGGGTTTCAAGCAACACAGTGTTCACTGGCTTTCAGTATTTATTTACCAAGTCACTTCTCAGTTATCAGTATATAAACATTCTCTAAGATATCAGCAGTTATCTCTGAACTGGCATGTAAGTATCTAACTTATTTATTTGATTTTTAGAATTAATTGAATGAAATTGTTATCTGTAGACACAATTTCAAGTTTTTCTATATTTGATAAATTATGTAAAGATTGTTTCCTTGTATCTACTTCATAAATCTGTAAGTAATTCAGCACCAATAATAATTAATTTGCAGTCAAAGAAAGAATGATATATCAATCCTTTTTACTCAAATAAAGGTTTAAAAGTTGCGTTAGGCATACAATACACTTTTAAAAATTATTTTAATTATGTCCACAGCTTTAAGGTCTTTCATTGAAAGAAAACTTCACTGTCGTCTTTGTCATATGATTTTTTGTACGGAATTCAATCGTCAATGAACTTTTACATGTGTATGCATCTTCAAACAATAACAAGAAAATTACCCTAGTCCTGACTTTTCTAAAACGTGGTCCACCTGTTTGTGCTGTCAATATTATCTGAAATATTAAGAATTGCGTCCAGGTTTCCATTTATTTATATTGTCGAAATCTTAACAAAATTTGTCATATCTTCGAAAATTTTGAAAGCACACCACATCTTTGAAATGCCAGGACTAGGATTTCTTTGTAATAAACCTTTAGAATTTTACTTCTAAAATTAGGTGTACAAATATAAAGCAAATTATTTCAAAGGTCAAAGAGGACCTTCAAGTTCTTATATATTTTGTGGGACACCCTGTATAAATAAGAAAATTTGAAGCATTTAAAACATCATTTATGGCCTACTGTAGTAATAATTAGAGCAGAAAAATATTTTATCAAATAGATAAACATAATTTTGATATAGTGGTTTATTCGAAAGGATAGAAATAATGTTCATCTAAAGTTTCAGAATGAACGTAGATAAGGAACTATTTGCGGCATTTGCCTTTCATGCTGGGCTCATGGCAGTTAAAACTCTGTTCATGTCTTTTCTCACTGCAAGGTTAATTTATTGTTTGACTGCCTTTTTACTAATATTAAACATTTTCATAATTCCCTTAACTGTCCCTTGGGATAAATGAGTAAAAACAGATTGTGTGATGCAAAGTTTTTATGCAAAAATTCTGTAGTTTCGCAACTTTATCTGAAAACAGAACTTTTTACTTAACAAAATTAGTCTTAGGAACCCTTGGTAAAGTAAAATTTCCTTAACTTCCCTGTAAAGTAGTTGAAAATATAATAATAGTTGTAGATAATTCCAATATCAGCTGAGCCCCAATTAATGCTTCGATTTTCTTTAGATTATGAAATGTTGCTAAGAACTATTTTATTTGCAACTGAACAGTTGTCTCATACAGAAACTGTGAAATTTACAGAAAAAATACAAAATAATCTTTTAAATAAATTTACATTCCATACATAAAGAACATCAGTATATCAGTTACAACAAAATCTCAAGTTAACAACAAATTAATTAATTAATTAATTAATTCATTCATTCATTCATCAGTTTTCTGGTTCTCACTTTTTTATTTTCAGCTAACTTTTTTATTATAAACATACTATAGAGGACAGTGTTTGTATTGATATCAATGTTAATTTATTAATTAAATATTTTTGTGCTTTTAAATGATGTTGGTAAATGACATTATGAAAACTTGGTAGAAATAAAATCTGTAAAAATAAGTCGTCTTTGTTACATTTATTATTATAATGACCACTGTATTGTAGGCAGAGATTCGCAAAGAACAACTTCATTTCTCGTGAGGATGGAAAGACAAGGCCAGGGGCTAAGGTATTTACAGTGTAATACATAAAACTGTAGAAAGACGACATTTAAACAATCTTATGTGTTTTGATGTTGTTGTACATCAACAAGTTTTCCCAGTTGCTTGAAACCCAATTTATTAAATGAAATTGGCCTGTGTTCACTGCACACTTGCTGTGTTTCATGTACCATATTTGGAGTCTAAACATTTTTTTGGTCTCCCAATATCGTTTTTTAAAATTATATACAGGGTGTCCCACATCATATTAGACTGAGAACTAATGGCAGGACTAGGGGAATTTTGTGATTATTATCTCTAGAAATTTACTTCTAAAATTAGGTTGACAAATAAACGCAGCAAATTATATCAAAAATCAAGACGACACTCAAGGCATAATGCATACTGTCATGTTTCGTGGGACACCCTGTATCTTTATCGTTTTGTGTGTTAAGATCGGAACAGGGGTGGATGAGGATGTGGAGAGAGTACGAAGAGCGCATCAAAATGACATAGGAATATTACAATTTAATCTATTAAATATCTTTATTTTTATACACAAAAATTAGTGATATCAAATGCATACTTTGCTTGTCTGCTTGTTGAAATTAAAAATTTAGCTTTGAAAAGTATCGGCATTTTTTTTAGTAAAAATCCACCGATCAAATCAGAATAATTTACGAAAAATTGAGTTTTACAATGACAACGAAGAAGTGTAGACTTTTAGAGCAACATTTTAATGCTAAAATTGTTAGTAGAAAAGAGGATTTACTAATAATTATTACATATTTTCTAATCTTTTTGTTGTATTTTTATACATAAAAAAGGCTCATTTTTAAAAACAAGAAAGATTTAAATCTCGTCTTCTAACCTACGTTAATTGATTGATTGATATAGAGAATATATTTCCCTTCCTAACCCTGGGATTTCTCTATCTTTTCACCAACCCTGGCCTTTCCACTGCTACAACTGTGTTCAGGTAAAATATTGAGAACAGTCCGTTTAATCATTAGATCTAAAGACACTTTTTTTGAAGTAGGATCTAAAGCTTTAATACATTACAATACATATAATTTTTTTATTCCTCCTGCTGGGCAAAAAAATTAATTTAAACTCTGTAAATATTTTTTATAGTAAACAAAATTAAAATGATCAATTTTTTGATAGAAAAACGGGAATTTTTTTATAGTTTTTGCGAATACAATAGAAGTTTAAAGGATACCAGTGTGACTTTGCAAAAGATAAAAAAAAATTAAAAATTTTTTAATTTCTGTTTAAAGATTGTTTTCTGGAGCACGAATTCTTCACAGTGTAGGTGAGTAAATTACTAAACCCTATAAAAGCTGGGGGGTCTGAATTTATGTATAGCCTGGAGGGCGTTTCGCCCACCCCCATAGAAAAAGGCCATATAGAATAATATGTAAAGGGTTGAAATGCATGTTCATAGCCCAGTTTTCATAGCCAACTCAAAGAAAAAATAATCAGACTGATAACTTTAATAAAAAATGCCTAAAAAAGGGTCAAAAAAATTTTAAAAAGTATTTGTTTTTGTTTTAAACAAATATCAATATGGGACACATGTTTCTACATGTTTTTTTCAAGGGTTTTTCAAAAATATAGTTTTTAGATCTGTAGCTTTAGATTTTTTTTTCACAGACCGAACTTTTTTCCGCCCTGTATCCTACCCCATAAATAAAAAAAATATTTTTTTTATAAAAAAATCCTTTAAATTACTATTCATTAAAAGTCACAAAATTTCACGGTGATAGTGTGAAAAATGAGAGTGCTAGGTCAAAATAAACCTGGGGGGGGGATCGCTAAACGCCCCCCTCCCAGCCTGTTTAGGGTTAAAGCATGCCTAAATTAATTTATAATATCAAATAGTCCAAAGAAAATGAAAGACACAATGTAGAAAAGTTTAATGTTTAAGAATATCTTTTCGTTAATATCTTGTTAAAAAACGTATCGAGACCCATTCTAGGAAGAAGACATTCAAGTAATTTTTTGTTTAATGTTGTTTTCAAGCAAATTATTTTACTAGTATGCTTGAAAATTTTTAAGTGATAAGTGATATATGTTTTATCTCCATTGGACCATTTAAAATCTTAAGTTTTACAGTTGTTTTTTATTCCACATTTTCATGGATACCATTGTATCATTAAATATTTTTTTGTTTAAGTTTATCTCTGGGAGATTCCTCAGCCCTCCAGAGCTCTCGCTTTCTTTGCAGGTTAATTTAAAGGGACTGTAATCAGATTTTCAAATCACCTTCCATTACAATGAAACCCTTTAAACCTTTCTCTAGCTTGACAAGTTTATAATTCTAATAATTTCTTGATTGATTTTGCAGCAGAAATTCACCAGTCTAATTTTCTAGAGGACTCACACATTGAAATACTCAGAAAAACATTAATATTTCTAAAATCATGAGAGGAAAGTCTACAGTTCCTTTGAAAAGATTGTTAATGAATTAATAATTGTTACATTATTAATTTTCTAAACATTCAAAAAGACTCCATTAGGATCTTATTTCAAAATTGCATTCTAGACAAGTATTATAATATGCTAAATAGTTACTCCAATAAAAGATATACATCAAAGCGATTTTTCAAAATGATTAGTATAAATCGTTTTTCCTTTTGATGAATCGGTAATATTTCTGATCAAAGAAAGAATTTATAAAATGTCGTCTTGACAATTTTTCATTGGGTTTTATACTATTTTATGCCAATATCAGTATTTGTAAAAATAAATAAATAGCCATGAATATACGGGAACAGTTTATGCCCAACAGTCATAGTGTTTAATGTATCTTTTTAAGTTTCACCCTGTAAAAATTGTAGGTACAGGAACCCTGTATTTTTTAAATTTTACCCTGTAAAAATTGTAGGAATAGGAACCCTGTATTTTTTTAAATTTCACCCTGTAAAAATTGTAAATGTAGGAACCCTGTATTTTTAAATTTCACCCTGTAAAAATTGTAAATATAGAAACCCTGTATTTTTTAAATTTCACCCTATAAAAATTGTAGGAATAGGAACCCTGTATTTTCAAATTTCACCCTGTAAAAATTGTAGGAATAGGAACCCTGTATTTTTTTTAATTTCACCCTGTAAAAATTGTAAGTATAGGAATCCCATATTTTTAAATTTTACACTGTTTTATATTGTAGGTATGGGAGCTAATCTGTACATGGGTTACAAGATCCTATCCACCTTCATGTCTGCCATGTAAACATTGTACAAATGTATTGCAACATAAACAGCTTATGTGAATTTAACATAAAGAGATTTATGTGCAATAGTACAGGAATATAATGAGCTTTATGTACAATAGTACATCAGCATAAAGCGCGTTATGTACAAAAGTACTGAAATATAAAGAGCTTCATGGATAATAGTACAGCGACATAATGATCTTTATGTACAAAAGTACAGAAATATAAAGAGTTATCTATAAGCTAGTACTGTAACATGAAATTCATGCACACTAATACTGCAATATAAAAAGCTTCATGTACAAGTACAGTGACAAAAATAGCTTTATGTACTACACTACAGCGAAATAAAGAGCTTTTTTTTACAATTGTACTGCACTATAAAGAGATGTATGTACAATTGTAATTCAACTGCATATTATGAGGTGTCCTGTTGCTATGTACAGAAATGTTATGCTTTAAAATTTAAATAAACATAAACCCATTACTTTTTATTTTTAAGATTTTACATAAATGTACAATAACATAACAAAGAATAATAATTTTTGTGCAAAAGCTTTATAAAAGAATGTACCGATTAATTATCAATATTTAAACGAAGATTGCAAACGCAAGATAAAAAATACCTATTTTGTAATTTTTCAAACATGTTTGTATTTGAATTCTGAAATGTTTTAGACGTCTTACACCGTTTTTTATTGATAACGGTGATATTAGGAAAACACAGTAGTTTTTCACGTTTTCTTTTTATTTTTTTTAGAGCAATGTCATCGTTTATAGACAAAATTGTGCATGCAAGGGTTAGTCAAAGAGAATAGACAAGAATAGAGTGGAATTAGACAGAAAAAAGCGTAAAACCGCCATTTTGTTGTACTGTCTCCTTACTGCATGGTGTTCTTCACACAGTGCTATATAACCTTCTGGGCCCTGGAACATCTTTTTTAAGAACAAATTCTTGAATTTTTTAATTTCTCTAAATTAATACTTTTGACCACCTGTCGTGCATTGCCGAGTTCATTTTAGCATACACTTTCTAAAAAGAAAAATTGTAACAGATATGTCCAGGCATCATACTGTATTATTGTGATGTACTGTGTATAATTTATAAACATTTACAATAATTGTACTCAAAGGTACTGAAAAAAGTTCATACTTATTTCCCATCTACTCTAATATCTGTTCTGTGGGCTTAGTTCATGAGTGTACTATCTTAAGTTTCCCTTTTATTCTAACATCTGTTCTGTGGGTTTAGTTCATGAGTGTACTATCTTAAGTTTCCCTTCTATTCCAACATCTGTTCTGTGGGCTTAGTTCATGAGTGTACTATCTTAAGTTTCCCTTCTATTCTAACATCTGTTCTGTGGGCTTAGTTCATGAGTGTACTATCTTAAGTTTCCCTTCTATTCTAATATCTCTTCTGTGGGTTTAGTTCATGCGTGTACTATCTTAAGTTTCCCTTCTATTCTAACATCTGTTCTGTGGGTTTAGTTCATGAGTGTACTATCTTAAGTTTCCCTTCGCTATTCTAATATCTCTTCTGTGGGTTTAGTTCATGAGTGTACTATCTTCAGTTTACAGCTTTATCTTGAGGGAAGGTCAATATGTACGTATACTGCAACCTATATCTATCTATCTATATTTATCTATCTATCTATCTATCTATATTTTCATCTCGATTATTCTAGTTTACACTTCTCGGCCCCCAGTCGTAGTTCAGGTTAATTTGAAACAGGTGATACCTTAGATTTCATAGTAATATATAATTTTGTTTGTGGGGGGTCATCAAGACTCAAGAGCTGTTACACGGTGGGATTCATAATTTTGTGAAATAGAAAGACTAAAGATTTGATCGAAATAATCCAGTAAACATTAAAGTTTACGCAGACCATTTAACTATGAAGCTATACTGATTTAAATTACAGGGTGTCCCACGAAACATGACAGTTTGTGAATAGTTTAAAATCTCTTCTTCCTTAAATTGTTAAATAGTTTGATACCAAAGAGAATAATTAAAAATATTGTGTGGAAGTCATCTTATAATAAAATTGATTGAAGACATTTAAAAATATTCACCAACTGTCATGTTTCGTGGGACACCCTGTATTTGCACTTAAACAACACCAAATACCAATAAATTTGACTAAATGTCGTCGTCCAATTCCATGCTGTAAGATTTCATAATCGTTTCCAATGATGATCAAACTACAGAGGTAAAATCCCTTTCAGAGCGTTGAACATTATTTCACCCTATATAGTTGTTAATAACCTAATTCCTAGCCTAATCTAACATAATAAGTTCTTACAGAATATACTGCGCTACTTTATCATTGCATGGAGTCATACAAAAAGAATGTTGTTACTATTTACTTGGCTTATCTCCCTCAATAAAAATTAAATTGTAAACAATTATATATATATAATTTTATATTTACATAAAACTATATATCTTTATGAACTAGCATAAATTGTAAACAATTATATTCACATATATATGTGAATATATTGGGTGTATGTTTGTTTGTCGGATAATAACTCAGGTATTCCTGGACCGATTTGCCTCAAATTTTGATCGAAGAACTCAGGAGACCCATGGGAATGTTCTTAGCTTGGTTTTGAGATTCTAGGTTGACTGGGTCGACTTTAATAGTGAAAAATTTAGTTCCCCGATAAAATCGTTTAAGTGCGGGTAAACGGCGGGAGTAACTTTTAGTAACCTTAGCAGCGCTGGGTTCCCAAGCTAGTATTTATATTAAACTATATATAACTTTATTAAATAGCATTTTCATATGACGACCATTTATTGCCTGCCTACATATTGTTTCTAAATATATTATTTAATCAAAGTTTTTCATATTTATACACAATGTTTCGCATAAAATCTTCTTTTTTTAAATTTATCTTTAATTTGAAAGTTTTTTACAAAATGTTTTGGATACAATCTTCTTCAGTTAATAATGGGTATATATTATATGAAAAATAAATATATAAAGCTATATTGTAGCAATCCCATATTTGTTAACCTGAGCATACCTAGATAAACATGAGCTAAGTAACATACATTGTGACTAGATTAACTACGTTTATATCTATCCATGTTAATCTTCTAAAATGCGTACATTCAACTCAAATATGCTGTAAACATCTGTGGAGATAGCTTAACTACGTTATATTTATCCTCACTAATCTTATAAAAACATGCATTAAACCCATTAAATGTACGTGGATATAAATAACTCTGTCATACCCATATTCTGATTGCTTAACTACGTTATTTATATCAGTGCCTAACTACGCTATTTACTACGCTACATAATTATGCTGTTAAAGACCCAATTCTAATCTAAACTGAAGAAATATACCTCAGTTGATAAAGTATATAAATAATAAATATAATCTATCTATATTTCTATATATAATTCCAGATTGATTAAGAATACCTAAGATGAATATCAACCAGGACCTATTCGCCACATTTGCCTTCCATGCTGGGCTCATGGCCGTTAAAACATTGGGGATGGCTTTTGCAACAGTCAAGTAAGTAATTTTATAATTTCTTTGAAAAATACAGTGGGAGCCGTAAAACTGTGGAAGAGGAAGATGATTGTTGAAAATTTAAATGAAACCCATGAATTTAGCAGTTTTCACAGGCGCATTTTACTGAATAAGAGTATGTACAAGCTACTGGCAGGGGTACTTTATAGTAACATAAAATCTCCATAAAATTACTTAAATGTCGTCTTCCTTTTCCAACGCTTTAATGGTTTCACAATACTTTGAAGATTATGTAAGAAGACATTAACTGCCAAAATGTGCAATTTCCCAAAAAACAGCGCTCTGTCCTTAGCTTGTTCCAGCCACATTGCAAATTTGAGAAGTTGTCACTTAGGAAATTGTCAATAGGGAAGTTTCCACAAGAAAAATTGTCACTTGGGAAGTCGCCCTTGAGGATATGCCTTTGGGAAAATACCTTTGGAAAAATAACAACCACCCAATTGGGCCAATCATATCCGGCTGGGATAAATTATGTCCCGGCTCCAATCAGCTGCTTCTACAACTGGCTTGCAGGGTTCAGGGTGCAGTGTTATGAATTCAATCTTAACGTGTTTTAATTGGATCTATAATAAGTTTGAACATTGTACATAATTGTTCGATATTCAAATGTCGCACCATTTCTCATTTAAAAAAAATAGCTTAATTTTGTTATATTTTAATTAGACAGAGGATCTCAAATAACAATGTTATGACAAAAGAAGACGCTAGCATGAGACCTGGAGCAAAGGTTAAAATATAATTTCAAAATATTTTTTGTTTAAAGATATTTTAAATTAAGATAACTCTCTAGACTAACCAGACTGGATGTATCTTTATAATTTGTATTTGCAATTTTTGATTATAATTCAACACTTTATGGAATTGACTTTTTTATTCAAAACACTTTATAGTGCCGATAAGGAAATATTTTTTTTAATCTTTTCTTAAAAATCAAAAAGGAAAGATGCTAGAAAGTGCAGGTCTCTCTTCTTGCACTGTTAATTTTTCCAGGCGGGGACGTCCCCTCAGTTTTCCAGGGGGGGACGTCCCATCCCCCCCCCTCAATACAGTTATTATCTGAAACACAAATTCAAGATACGTGGTTGAACCGATCTTTAGACCTGGTTCAAATTCATTAAATCTGGTTCCCGTGTTTTAATGGTTTCTTCGTGTTTAGATAGGCGTTGGAGTGAATGAGGATGTAGAGAGAGTACGACGAGCTCATCAAAACGATATAGGAAATTAAATCAATCAATCAATCAACTAGCAAAATAGAATGTCGTCTTTATTCATAAAGACTTGAAGTCGTCTTTCACCTCTGAAATATTTTTTCGGCAATATAATTTCATTATTTGTTTGGCAATGTTTGGCAGTATAATTCCATAATTTGTCTGATAAATCAATCACAAAATAACCCTACCTCCGCCATTTCTAATATGTTGTCTGTAATTGTTGTTCTTTCAAAAATACCAGAAATATTAAGAATGTGATACAAATATCGAATAGCAAAAGGCAGGTCGAAATCTCGGACATTTCTTTCAGTCAAATATTTATTGATTGATTGATATAGAGAATATATTTCCCTTCCTTACCCTGGGATTTCTCTATCTATTCACCAACCCTGCTCTTTCCACTGCTACATCTGTGTTCAGGTCAAATATTGAGAACAGTCCGTTAATTTTGTTTAACCCCATGAAGGCTGGGGGGTTTGAATCTATGTATAGATTGGGGGGGGCGTCCCCCCCTAGAAAAAGGCCTTAGAGAATATGAACAGGGTTGAAATGCACGTTCATAGTCCAATGTTTCAAGGCCAGCTCATTGAAGAAAAAATTATATCGATAACTTTTATAGTTTAGGTGCTAGTGAGGGTTGAAAAAGTGCCAAACAAGTTTTAAAAGATGTAAAAAATATTTTTGTTTTGTTTTAAACAAATACAAAGTATGACACATGTTTCTACATGCATAAACAAGGGCTTTTCAAAAATATAGTTTTTAAATCTGTTGCTTTAGTCATAAAAAAGTTATATGCTATTTTAGAATTTTTTCTACACGGACCGGACTTTTTACCGCCCTGAACCCTACACTTTACATTAGAAATAATTTTTTTTAATCCTTTAAATTTCTATTTATCAAAAGTCACGAAATTTCAAGGTGATAGTTTCAAAAATGAGTGCTGAGACAAAAAAAAAACTACAAACGCCTCTACCCCGAGCCTGTTTAGGGTTTAATTAATAGATTTCGCATAATAAATTCCTTTTTAAAATTGTTAAAAATATTTTCCACAAAAATGGCAAAAGTTTTTTTTAGGATTTTCTCCGGTGCAAGAATTATGCACACTATTGGTGAGTATTTTTGAACTTATTCTTTTTTACTATTTGTTTTGGACTACTGTTATTACAATAACATTTTTACATTTTTGCATTAAATTTTCTTTTTTTAATTTCTTTCAATCATTATTTACGTCTAATGTTCTTATCTCTATATATTTGCGACCCGATGTCGTAGACCTTTGATATTTTAAACTCTAATAATCTAAGTTTGAAACATCAAAGGTTCTAACAATCAGGTTTCAGGTATATAGGGATCAGAACTCAGATCCTTCAGTTTTATCAAAGCATGACAGTCGTGTTTCTATTCTACAGTTTTATGAGGGTCACTGCATTTTCACTTAAATACAAATACCGTGGTCAGCATATATATCAATACAAAATCGTTTCCTGAAATACAATGAAGACGACTTTTTCAACGTAAGCTTTGATTGTTAACAAGGTTGATTGAAATTACAAGTTTAAAAGTAATGAAAGAAAAGCTTATTTACTGGACAATGTATATGTGTATCCATACTGTTTAAAATCTGGATATAAATCAAACTTGAAATCGTCTTCCTTATATCGATATAATTTTCTACCACTGTATCTTTAATGTATGTTTAGTTTATCTATGGGAGGTTCCACAGCCATCCAGAGCTATCGCATTCTTCGCTGGTAAACATTTCATTTTAGCTTTTAAAGGGACTGTTAACGTATTTAAAGTTGTTCTAAAGGGACACTTCACGTCAAAATGTTCTACATGAAAAGATGTTACCAATTTCTATCCAAAGTCGTACCAGTCTTATCAGTAATGTTGCACGATTTTTTTCATATTTCTTCTGTCTTCTAGTATGTTTTTGAGCCCAATTCCAAGTGACCTTAAGTTTGATGAAGTTACATTTTGATTGACAAAAGTGCCTTAGTCAGAGAAAAAACTTTAAAAATATTCTATTTTGTTTCTAAATTGATTTCATCCTGTATTTTAAGCGAATATGAACTTTCGTATAATTTTAACACAGTTATATATAAATTTCTCGAGACAGGAATATCAGATAAAACTTTCATGGGTCGCGATCAAGAGCAAAAGTGATTAGCTTTCAGCCTATACCACCTTTCATTTTTCCTTTACAGTTCCTTTAACAGCTTTAAAAAATTCGAAATTTTAATGGATAGTCTAGGGAACATACTGTATTCATGTACTCTACTGCATATAATTTGTGAACATTTACATTCATACCGATGGATTGTCTAAATTCCACTCTAATATATATTCTATTCTCTTTGTTCATGAGTTATGATCGGACAAATAGACAAACATTCAGGGTGTACTACATTATATATGGATATTAAAACAAAGGAAATGTTTAAAACATATTTGTCTTAATTATGATAATTATTTATTCTAGGAATGGGAGCTAATCTGTATATGGGATACAAGGTTCTTTCTACATTCGCCTCTGCTATGTAAACTGTATGTACAATGTAAACTGTATGTACAATGTAAAATAAATAATGAAATGTACAATGCATTCAACATTTGGTATGTACACTGTACAGGGTTACCCGCAAAGTATGACACTTAAGAGACAACCATGTACATATTTTCGTTAGTCGGGTCACACAACATTCAAGTATATTTTTACGTAGAAATGTTTTTAATTTTAACATTTCAAATTATAATAAGTTATCGAGAAGAACCAAAATTTGTTTAATTTCTGGTGTGTAACCAAACAAATTTGCTTTTCAGGAGGAGCTACGAGGTCACAAAGTTTTACCAGTAACGTCGCATAAACTTGTTAAAACAAATTCGAAATATAAGGAAGACGATTGTTCCGACTCAAATGCCGATGTCAATTCCCTGGATGTGTGTGTACACTGAATACACAGAATCCTTTTCCGCCATACAACACACCCCACATGTCAAATCTCCGCTCAACCTAGCTCCCGCTTCACCAGTCAGTCAGCGGAAAACACTCACGAGATTCACAACTCCGTCTCAACCCTGGCTCCTTTGTGATGATGATTCAGATACGGAACCAACAACAGAAGACACTGCTTACACCTAGCTCCGCGCTCCACAAAGTTCCAGAGATCCGGGCGGAACCAGACTTCCTTCCATTATCCTGTATACAGGATAAGTCCGCAATCTCTCCCTCCCACAGGAGAAGGTAACAATAGTTCGCTCCGCAGGAGAAGGTAACAATAGTTCGCTCCGCAGGAGAAGGTAACAATAGTTCGCTCCGCAATGTTCCAGAGATCCGGGCGGAACCAGACTTCCTTCCATTATCCTGTATACAGGATAAGTCCGCAATCTCTCTCCCTTAGACTAAGCCTAGTTGTGAGAAAGCCTGCCGTCAAGATTGATGATCTGCATCA